CAATCTACAACCGTCTATGTGCTGTTCGACTGAATAAATCCGTAAGAACTAGGAAGGACCGTGAAATCAAACGATGCCTTTTTTAATCTCCGCCTACGCACCCACTGACTGCAGTTAGGACGATGCAAAGAATGAAAGCTGTCAACTTTGCTACAGGAAGCAAAACGTTCAGATGTAATCATAATGACAGGTGACTGACTTAAACGCCCAAGTAGAGAAGCTGGGCCAATCGAAAATGCATCTTAGGAGTATTTACGGGGTCCCATGCCAAAGAACTGACAACGGTGATCCCCTGTTGCAATTTTGTCCCGACAATCACCTGTTTCTTGCCAGCACTAATTTTAGGCACAAGGAGAAGAACTGTCGTACGTCGCGTCGATGCCGAGAGGTGGTGGCTGGGGAAAGCGACACGGAGAAAGCATCATTGTTGGGTAAACCTGGCAACCATTTAGACTTATTAAGGATACCAACAAGAAGATGATGGGTGAAACCACCTTTGAAAAGGATTGGACACTGACAACCCCACAGGACACACGGCTAGGACGTTGGGCAGAACACTTGGAAGCAGTTCATTTGGCTCTCAGCAACGCATCAGTAGCCTAATATCCAGCCTGAATGGGACGTGAAGGCTTGATCAAACTTAAAACGATGTAAAGCAGCAGGACCTGACAATCTGCCCCCTGAATTCTTTGAGGACGGAGGTAGGAAATTATGGATTAGTGCCAGAAGTACTAGATAGTGTGTAGGAATCAGATTTAATTCAGTCAAACTGGTCCATTCCTCTGGTCATTCCAATCTGTTAGAAGGGGAAGAAGTCTTAAGATAACTATAGGGGAATAGTTTGACTGATATCGTGTCCAAGATTTTTGGGTTCATAGTTATCCGACAGCTAACTGAAGATCGAAAAAACCAGGCAGATCTCAGACATAAACGAGGACATGTCGATCAGACCTTTGCCTTTCTACAGGTTCTGGAACACAGGCATACGTACCAGCGACCGACACGCCGTATTTCTATACCTGAAAGCTGCACTCGACTCTGTCGACCGTGAGGTGTTATGGTAGTTTCTGACTGTGAAGGAATTACCGAATAAATTTGTAATGTTAATCATAGCTCTCTACTCGAACTCACGCAACCGTGTCAGGGATAGCGGAAAGTCGTTTTCAGAATTGATGACAACTAGGTGTCCGGCACGAATGTCCACTGTCACTGTTCCTATTTATCTGCATTATAGGCGTAGTAATGGACGTTACTCTGGGTAAGTCTGACTTCACTGAGATTGATGTACTCTCTAGAGACCATCTAGTTGATCTCTAGTGTCCAGACGATATTGTTCCGCTAGATAAGGACGCTAACAAAATGCAGGGTCTTCTGAACGCGTTGAGCGGAAATCTGAGCATGTTCGACGTGCGTTTCCCACTTGTCAAATGCAAGGTGATGCTTCAAGACCGGCGTGTAAACAATCCCAGTTGAACGATAGCAAGTGAAGCGGTGAAATGTGTCGACCACTCCACATACTTGGGGCGTTGCATCAGCCCAAGCTAGCTGGTTGCTGACAAATTCTTAGCTTGAATACAGAAGGTCCGTTTGGCGTTCACCAACTTGTGTCATCTGTGGCGTCGGTTGGTGGGATACTAGACTACCTTTGAAAGGACGGGTACACTGCCCTGCAGTCCGTTCTCTCCAGTTATACGGCTGACATATGGGCGTTCAAAGTAGAAAATACGAGGCAGTTACAGGTTTTCGATCACAGGTGTCTTTGTAGCCTTTCTCACTTGTGGGGGAATCACCGTGTGAGCAATATTGAGGTCAGGCGAAGGGTAACAGATACGTCGGTTGATGAGATTGTGAATCTTAGTCGACAGTTGACTTGGACACACCGAGCCACCCCCGTGCCTTGGCGTACCATGCTAGGGGAAGTTGGGTTGGAAGAGGTTTCAAGGTGCCCAGACAAAAATGTGACACTAGTCGATGAAGTCCCTAACTATTGGTCTGAGCCGTGTGGGAAGATATTGAACACATATCTGGGCTCCTCGAAACAAAAAAAATCAGTTGCTGAGAGCTTAGTGACATGGCCGAAAGTCGGTTACAGTGACATGTGTATTCGTTCCTTGACATCTAAAGCTTGAATATTTGCACTGACCGTTATTTTCAAATTGTTTATTCTCTCACAAAACGTTGTCTACTTTAATATCACTTTTCCGATCCACCTGTTCTTTCTGTACTTCTGTGAATTGTGGCAGGTTGATTCGACACACTTATATGCGAGGTTCTACGTTACCAGTCAGTTTTACAGCTGGCTCGGTGTATGCCCCGACATTTTCTGTGATAGCCCTACTTCTAACCCCGTCCACCCTATGTGCACTTCATTTGGCCCGACATCACATTCCTGACCCGACGAAAATGTTGGTTGCGTACCACATAAAATATGCTATGGTAGTGGATCCGATAGAACCTAGGGTAGAGAGCATTCAAATGGTTGGCACCAAGTTAATAGTTGCTCTACATGACCTGTTTTGTAAGGGCCACTTGCTGCCCCTAAATGTTATCAGTGTCTTGCCATAATAGAAGGGGTGAGGTAATGTTAGTATAGAATTGTAGAAATCCTTACTCGAACAAGTGGTGTCAGCTCTCTGGGTGAATGTATTCAAGAAAAAACTAAATCTTCACAGAGGGAAATACTGCAAGGATTAACACAGACCAGATTACCTCCATCCGCGTAGCGTGATCTTTTTGTGCATAGCTGACTCGAAAGACCCCAGTTCGCTCTAACTACATGCTCATAAATTAAACTCTAATAGGTCAGCAGTCCAACACCTGTGGTTTTCATTGAGAGCACACAAAGATTACTGGACTACGAAAACATGATGAACAGAGACATCCTGTAGGGGTCGTGTTGAGATTCGCAAAATTAGATATCGTCTACAAAAATCCTCATAAGGTTAATAATAACTATGGATCCCACTTTTCTAGTTGCCTGAGGATAGAGAAAACGGATAAATAACCCCAACCACGTTAGCGTATATGCATTAGGCGGTGAGTTATCTATTCTGTGAGGGCTAATGATATCACCCGGCTAATATGACCATAGTAGGTGAAGTAAGTTTTGAGCCTGTCATCCACTATTTCGATAGTAAACTGCGTAGACCCAAGTTTTGGGTCTACCAATTCGAGGTTGATGAGGTTTAAAATCGCTGGGTTTTACCAATCACACTGATCCCTTTTGAGGCAGGTTATCAATAAAAGATCCAAAGGTTGACTCCGAAGTTTTCGAATATTACTGTCTAAGGGGGAACCAGAGACGATACTGGTTGCCTCTATTAGGTCGTCTTGTCATCATGTTCAAGCTGAAAACGATAGTAAGCTACATATAGCATGTAATTCATTTTCCACTTATAGACATAATAAAAATAAGACATTTTTACTACGTCGCCACTAAGGCAGTGTGCATTTCTCTTTGGGTTGAAATCAATAATATATGTATTCACGTGTAATACGATTTTGGTTACTACCAGAGACCTACATATGTACAGCTTATATTTAACCTTTTTTAAAAGCAGATTCACTATTTAGAGGAAGACTGGTGAATGAGAACTCAATTCTAATGTATATCAATGTTTTTAAATAAATGTGTAAGCCATCATCACAAATATCTCCACTTGTTGCAGATTATTGTTGTGCCATAGTGATACTGTGATGTAATGCTCATTCTTACGATAGGACTATGTGGGCTGGTTTACAGTTTGTGAAAGCAGTTAAACGATGACAACAATCATAAGATGATTGAAATAGCGCATATGTTATGAGCAAACCGATCTAACATGATTAACGTTGAAATATTACAGGTGGTGTGAAAATAATGCGGTAATTACTGGGAGGGGGACTGAGGCGAAAGCTGTAATAACACATCGATATGTAGGAAATATGACATGCGCAGAAAGTTTGCAAGGAATGTCGAGAGAATCATATTTTCGTTGGAGTAGACATCTTGACAGTACATATGGGAAGAGCTTCTACCACGTGTCCTATGAGTACCCCATGCGAAAACCTGAGTTTTGCGTGAATTTGATTCGACTGTGGGAACTGCAATATTTGGTTCCATAGGAACTATGAGACTTAATTCTTTTGAATTCAAAATGCAACCTCTACTTCGAAGTCTAGATAAACACTATTGGTAATATTCGTCATGAAAAGAGCAGCACTGACTCCAGTTTTGATATCAGAAATGACTTTAAACGCTGCAAGTAAGTTTCTTCATGAGGCATACGGTATCTGATAGTACGTATGATGAGTTTAAAATGTCTCCACTGTGCTCTCATCATAGGTGGGACAAGTAGACCTACAAAAGTCTAGTCATTTGCTCTAATTACCTTCTGATATATATATATATATATATATATATATATATATATATATATATATATATATATATATATATATAATATTTCTTAGACGGAGTAATTAGCATTTACAAAACATTATCTGACTTGTCAACTTTATCTATTCAGTTTTTTGGAGAGTAAATGCCACTTGTAATCATTTCATATTGGTGGATCCAAAGTGGAGTTGTGGCTCATTGGTTTAGGAAAATGACTTTCAACTAATGGGTCATGGGTAATAACGCCGCACCAACTTTCGAGCTCTAGAACAGCCAGATAGTAAGTATCATTTGCTATCACATAACTGGTGTGGCTCATTGTCTACTGCACGGATGTGCACAAGGTTGTTGGGTGCATTTTAATTCGAGTATATCCAAAGCTAATTTTTCTAGGTAGTTGACTTTAAGCCAGTCGATTACCCTTCACCCACCATGGTTTGTACAGCCAGGTAGTGTCACCAAACCTCAATATCTAACGCTCATGTTTTCTCTACTCAGATAAGAATTTGCTAACTTATTATTTGATGACTCATGTAAACATGATGGTTCCATCCTATTTTATTTCTTACTGAAGTGTCTCAACGAATACTCTCATTTTAATCATACTGGTATTTTTTTTCAGCTCCATTCAAGCCAACTAACATCGATTATTTATATCGATGTCATTAAACATACAGGGTGAATTCTTTCGTTGCAGCTTGTGCGACTTCAAAATCAGGTGTGACTACAAAGGTTATAACCCTCCGTTCTTCAAGAAAGACATAAAGTATCTATGGATCCTGATAATCTCTTAGACTTTTAGAAAGCGTTTATTGTATCCGCGATCCTTTTGCTGATGACAATCTGGGTGGGATAATACTAGGTGGTGACTGTAGTATATGTGGCAGGAGTGTGTGTGTCTCACAGGTAATTCTGATTAAATATTTCACGATTTTCAGGGCTGTTCTTCCTATAATCTCAAACGATACTGCAGTGATTGCATTAAGTCGGTGGATATGTGTGCTTGATAATATCATATTTGCACTAACCTTTCGAAGCAATAACTGTCTGTGTAAACCCGTTACATAAATATATTTGCTTCTATAAGCTTCTGTATTAAAATAATTTTGGAGATGGTGAGTGCTAAACAACCTCATGTTACAGATCGAGGTAAGTGTGGTTTAGGGAAATATTATCATAATAAAGTGACGCGCAGTTATGACTATTATGAACTCCATGAGCGGTTACGATCATTGAATTTTAAATGAATTTACAACGCCGAAAATCAGGAACTTATTAAACTCTAGCTGTGCTACAGGATTTAATCAGTTCAACTAGGCTTTTTATGTAAGCCCATTATAACTTCTTCATCAAGCCACTCGAGAAGCAATAATCTTCACCATAGTTATAAGCATATATTATTCAGTACGAACCAATATACACAATAGTAGGTGCGGAAGGGTTTTAGCTCAAAGGTCGCAAATCCAATATTTTATACGGTTGCAGATTGACTAAACTATGCTGAAATCTTAACGGTTATATCTTGATATGTATTGCCTGACTCAGTCGTATCATAGCTGACAAAAACAGTTTTACATCCGTTTTGTTAACATGTTAGCTACTTACTGAACTTAAATGAGTTCAACTCCTGATCAGGAATTTGCTCTGTGATGCAGATGCATTTACACATTATCTCCGTCGTTTAACCGAACTTCATTATTGTTCCCTTTTTATGACTTTCTAACACTTAAGATTACTTTCTGCTTTATGTCTCTTTCATCTCGCCACCTACCTTGATGTCCTGATACGACATGTGGCAGTAGTGCCAGGTCCCATGTTGACGTTGACTGGTCGAAAAACCTGCTGTACAGTACAAAGTTTATAGTTATACCCAGTTTATCATTGTACACACACGTTCATCTGGCCAGTTGTTTGGTCTTTTTGTAGTTATTCAGTTAGGTTACCATTCGATCAACAGTCACCAGTATCGAATTCCCAAGAAAAATATCAGTCCAGTGTTTACTTGTTTGGGTATTTTTGCTCCAACAAGATGATGTACTCGACTACAAAACTTCAAGTAAAATTGATTGGATTGTACAGTCGAACCCGAGGACGTCATACTCACTGTATATACTCAATTCCAGTTGCTTTCAAATAACGAGACTTTTTATCCGACATCAAATACATTTTACTCAACCTAACTGGCCTCAAGATGCTTTCTGATCGGTGAACAGAAATTGAGGAGCTATGGCTCACCAGTGTAGGCACTTGACTTCGAACCGACGGATCGCAAGCTCGAGCCCTGCATCACCCACCGAGTTTGGGCATCCACGTGGTATCATTCATCCTGACACAACAGGTGTGGTTTATTCCCTACTGTAGATGTCCGCTGAGTACATTTTGAAGACATTCAATGAAGCAAGATGATGCCGGTTATCGTAAAAGTAAGATGCACTCAGAATGTATATAAGCTTGGTGTATGAGATTGCTTGTCGTTTTCCTTTGAATTAATGACAAGTGTGGGGTTCTCAAAATGTTTTCAGAACGAAATCAATTCATCGAATTGTAATCACTTAACAGGTTTGTCTGAATTATTCGACAAACTCAGTCTTAGATTTGTCATTGATAAAGCTGTCAATACATGGAGAGAAAGGAAACGCATCAAGTTGGCCAAGTACTGGACACAACACCAGAGATGAAATTCCCGACCAACCCGGGTCAGTATGTGCACAATTCTTCTAGTTTTTGTCTTGCAGATAGGGGTTTTATCACTTAGTCCAAGCTTTTGTGATGGTCGTAATATGGAGATCGAAAGGCAGTTTGACAACTTTTATACACAGACAGAAGGTCTAGTACACTCATTTAGTGGAGGGTTGACAGACTCAAGGCTATGCTTGTTAACCCCTGTCTTAAGTTTATAAGTAGCAGAAATGGTAGAGTATTTTTGGTGGGAAAGCACGGATAAACTTAAAACAAATGAGAATCCGGCGATTACTGAGCCAGATAAAGGCTCAGGAGTAGTTTTAATGGATTAAACAGACTATACATGAACTGGTGCAACATCTTGATCTAACCACATTTAGGCTTATCCCGAACCATTTCTACTTCGTCTAGTACTGCACGCAAAATGTTGGCTCAGCATATGCAAAACGTATCCAAGATACTTTACTCCGTGAATTTTCATAACCTTATCGACTGACTTACCTGGTAACCGCCTAACCTCAACACGACGTATACGGTGATTCCACCAAACGCGAACAATGCTGCAAGTACGCCTATGGCAAAAACCACCAGTCTTTTTATACCAACTACGTCATGTAGCCATACTTGGCAACTGTATGATAGAACTGTAGCACAGTATAATTGTCAGGAGATGCAAAGATAGGCTTCACGTAGCCGAGCAAAGATTTCGCCAGATACCGACCTATTTTGCGCTGATGCATATTCCCAAGTTCGCATCCTTAAGCTAGGAATAGCTGTAGACCAGCACTGTACCGTGGACAAGCTCGGGCAGGTACAGTGAGAATCCTTGGTTGTCAACACTTCAGATGACAACTTTACAAAAAGATATAAACGACTGTGTGAATTGAAGTAGAGAGCTTTAGTTGGCATAATATACTTTCCCTGTCACCACACCTCGTTCATAAGAATCGAATGCCACATTCGACGTAAGTCTAGCAAGTTCAGATCGCCGATGGGCAATGAATATGTTCCGAAACCTGTCGAAGGGTGATGCGCTCTCATCCAGGTCTGAAACCGAACCGGTCTTCTCGAGCTTCATTAAGATATCCCACAACTACGCGTCCTAGGATGCTGAACACGACAATAGCCAAACTAATTCGCCTATAGTTGTTGCGAGAAGACGTCTCACGTTTCCTATAAACTGGAATCGTCAGCGATCTAGTCCGGTCTCTGACGGGATGACCTTTATCCTCCATACCATCACTACCATTTCAGTTACCCTACTCACTAATTATGTACTACCTTCCACAAAACATCCTGGTGGGAAACCACCAGATCCTGCTGTTTCGCATCGTTTCAAGTTTGAAACAGCTTTCTCAACTTCGACGACGGGCATCCTCCTATCTAGGTTTGAGCTGGATACATTCAAGTGATGCATGGATGTCGGTCATTTGAATTGTGTTTCAAAATGCTTTGCCAAACTACCTGTCCTAAAGAGTTACCAAGGGCTTAAGTCCTTCCGTGATAACACTAATTATCGCCTCCTTTTCGGCTGCATCTTCAATAACCCGAAAACGCTCCTAGGCATTACATGATACTGATACCTTCCCCATCTCTTTTACCATCTATCACTGCTCGCGGTCAACACGAAGACTCTTGGTGCAGTTACACTTAAGTTGCTTTCGCTTCTCATTATGGTCAGAGCCCTCTGGGATCAGTCTTCTCGCATCTATCAGTTTCGATAACGTAGCAGAAATACGGTGACGTTCGCTAATCTTCAGGTGTAGGTGCCAACTGTCTTTACCACTACTTCTACCGCAGACTTAATATCCGGCCAGGTTTCCTCAGGATCAGTATTGCTGTCACGTTCAGATAAATATTTATATTTAGCTAACACCGGTAAACAATTACTTGACATCCTCATTTTCCAATCGAGCATAGACAGGCTTCACTGTTGCCTGTGACGAGTATGGAGCAGACATACACAAGCCCGTACTAGCATGTGATTGGAGTCCGAACTGGTACTTCAGAAAGAACGGCTATCTTCTTCAACGATGACTTATAGCAAATAAACTGGCAATCTGTAGGCTATGAGCAATATTTAATGTCCTAAAGTTAATGATACTACTGAATTTCCCAGCCCACAGAGGTCCGAACGAAATTTGAGTACTGGACTCATTTATATAAGAGTAAAACTTAAGTATTTTGGTACACTGCAAACTGCGTTCGAAATATTATGCAGAAAATAATAATACTGTGTTGCACACCTAATGAAAAAAACTAAAATGAAATTGGACCTATAGTTTGGAAATCGAGTACTCACACTAATGAGTTGATTGTCATGCTTAGACATTAAGTATGGCGCTACCGTATTGAGTGAACATTGAACAGGAATAATAAATTATCTCTCATAGCCAAAAATTACAAATCCATTTTTCACATTAAAGTAGTATGAAAGGAATACAAAGACAACAGGTCAGCACTTATCATCCGATAGCAGTGAACTTTGAGATGTATAAATCACTAAATAAAATATGTTAATAGAATAAAGTGCAACATCTAAGCTGTTTCATTCCTTAAAAACTATGTAAATTATGAACAATATGTTGCTTAATAATGATGAAGATAAAAAAGGATAATTAGTAGGTATGCAAAAGGTAGCTAACACAAGACATGATTTACAGTTGGTCGTTCTTTTTGCGATGAAGTTTCAACTGACTAATGTATTCCCCTGTATTGGCATACCCATACAAGCAGTGGATCACCTTGGTCGGAAGAAGTCTGTAAACGTTTGTAATAGATACAGTATTAGTTTAGTTTTCCATAATTAGAGCTTGGTATGGTTAAATTAACTGATTAGTCACATCGGCTGTTATATATATATATATATATATATATATATATATATATATATATATATATATATATATATATCGGTAAAAAGAATCTTCCGCCACTTGAACCTTAAATTTAATGGTAAAAATGGTATGACGATGCAGAACATTCTTTAAAAAGGTATTCAGATGAAAGTTTAATGTGATCTGTGCAACTACTCACAAGAATACACATAATTAGCATAAGGTACGATATGGCGGAAAAGGTAATAATTGACATTCAATCGGTTCTAGAGAAATAAACCAGAAATAACGGAAGGAAATACAGAAGATATGTGAGAGAATTTGAAGAACGACTTACTCAGAAACTAAGATCCGAATATAATTAGCATAAATAACGCTGAACCCAATGTAACATTTTACCAGTACTCGTTATGTTGTCCTCTGCAGTGATACACCACGGAAACAGATCATTACAAACAGAAAGATATCTCAATCAACACTAGAAATACTAGTGGATAGGGGGAGACTTAAGTAGAGAGAAGCAATGGAATATTGGAAATTCGCACATGGATGACTGTATTTTCGTTGTTTAGATCGACTTCAGGCCACGTAAATTGGAGTCACTAACCATTCATTCTGTGCATCTCAGGATAGCCTACACTTCCCTTGTATAGGGTTAGGAACTTTGTGCCACAATTCGGTAGGACTACCCTAGATTTATATCAATCTAATCAGGCTGTATTCATCATAAATCGAAGCAGATCGTGTGTATTACTTTCGAACTACCTTACTTGGCGCAAATTAACAACTTACTTATCTCCTTCTATCCACTTCACAAGAGAAATGTAGTTGATTGGTTTAGGCACTCAAATCTTATTCAGAGGATCGCACCTACTTTATTTTGAGCGAGATGGTAGGGGTTAATGTAAAACCCCACACAGAAGGTGTGGCTTTTGGCATATTACATCTCACTGATGCTATGCACGGCATAGAATGGTAAACACAAAACGAGACTTCTTTCTTCTGTGGCTAGATTTCGTCGCCCATTCGAACTAAGAAGACAATGTAGTCGACCATGTAATTGCGCTCTTTAAAATAAGATTCGTATACACTGGTTGTCTTATAACCTTTCCCGATATTTGATTGACAAGTGATTACCTCAGTTAGACCCGTATATAAGCGATAATTTATTTCAACTCAGTTGACCGGTGGTTTAAAGGTTGGATATCAACTTAACTGCGTTTGGATACAGCCGCAAATTACGCAGTAAATCACTACCCAAGTGTCGTCAATATAAACAGATTCACCCACTACATGAACACTGACAACATATGACCTAGGACAACTGTGTATCGGTTAAAATTGTAAATCATCAAGTCTAGATGGATGTTAAAAAGTACAAAGAAAAGTAATGAGAAACAGAAAACCAGTTGTTAATAGCTATTTCCAATTAGTGTCCCCTTACTTAGCAATTTATTCAGTAAAGGTGTATCAAAAGTCTACAGCCAAATTGTTTTTTAGTGAAACCAAACGGATAATTTGACTGTCTGGTAAAAGCACGTCAATTTTTTAACCTCGTGTGACTGTCTGACAAAATCAGCATAGAATGTCACACATGAGTGCATTAGCTCAAGTCGCCACACTTCATAGAAGTACGCAAAGAAAAAGTGAATAGGAAAGGAGTGATATTAAAGAAGATAAAGTAGTGCGAGAGAATAAATAATCTGAAGATAAAAGTTAGTGTGAATATCCAAGCTTTAGAAGATGCCAAGGAGTGAATACATTTGCGCCGTTTTGACCGATTTTCAGACATGTTACCAAGTGTCCTCAGCCACTGATTCCTTTCATCTCGGTGACCCCAACTAGTCTATACCTTCTTACACGGCCCAAGCCAGCAGTTAAGGGACTCATCGAATGGTGTCAGGTCTTGGTCTGGTCACCCTGAACCCTTTTCCATCCTAACCTAACTTTCCCTAGCATAGCACGTTGAGGTAGGTGGTGGCTTGGGATGTGCAGCATATGTTCAAGCCATCTCAGTCGACTGAAGTTCAGTCGACATTTGTCTGACCTCAACATTGCTCACACGATGATTTCATCACACGTGAGCAATGTTACGATGACATCTATGATCAAAACCCTGCAACCGCTTCATGTCGTACCTATAAGGGCCAAGTCTCAAGGCCATACAACAGAACAGACTGCTGCGCAGTATACTCGTCCTTTGATTCATAGTCGGATATCTTGCCAATGTCACAGGCGACGTAAGTTGGCAAATGCCAAACGGGCCTTTTGTAGCTATGCTGAAACTCCGTCAGCAACCAGCGCATTCCGTCTGACGCAACTCCCGAAGTGAGTGAATTGGTCGACATATTCCACCAATTCACTCCCCATCATTAAGCTGGGAGTCGTTGCACGCCAGTCCTGGAGCATCATCTTACATTTGACAGGTGCGAAACCCATTTCATTGTGTCCAACTAAAACATGCACAGATAAAAACTTCTAGCATTAAGCATCTCCTAAGCTGTATGGCACTGATTTCACCGGAACATTTATGTTTGTGAATACATAAAATCTGTGCATGCGAAATAAAATGATTACTTTGTAGTTTGCCATTTTCAGTACTACAGAAAAGTGTAACTTGAAACTCTATGCCTTTCCAGCATAACACACTAAACTGATGAAAATGTCAAAATAGTGCATCAGTTAAAGTTGCTAATACAAAGACAAGACAATCAATAAGGAGAACAAAAAAAGCAATGGACAAGGAAGTAATGTACAGACAAAAAACAAATAAGTATGAAATAAGCTGTAAGAGATTTAGAATGCGATTAGAAATCTGAGTAAATATCAGCTAGTCTCCGACATACGAATGCTTTTAGTATGGATTCCACATATTTTTCACGCTACATCTTATGCGGAAATGAATAGTGATTCGACATGCATAACACTTAACAGCAGTAACAAAACGTTTTGCGCTGACTCTGGCTTTTGACAGAGCTCTAAGCCTAACAACAATCGAATATATTCAGCGTCATTCACGAAGTATTCAATGCATCATCTAATCGAGCTTGAAAGGCTTCTCGTTACATGGTTTTTATACACATTTTCGTGTATTGACAAGAGTTAGTGAAACAAAATGCTTCAACAAGAGGTGGCAGCATTATACTTATTTTTTGCAACAGCACTGAAAGTTTCTGAGAGCCATTATACACTAATGTGAAACGTATCTATACCTCCACATGCTTTCAATTCGGTGATAGATGAAACAGTCGATTTCAGAAGCGAATTTCACAAGTTTCATTCAATACCTGTTTGGGCTGGAACTACGTATACATACCAAAATGTCATTGTTCACACACGACTGTTATCTTAAACAACCACAAGATGATTACCAACCAGAATATAGTAGTGTGCGACTTTCACTCAGAAAATGAGAGATAATGAAAGAGGCTAAAGTAGGTTAGGAGGTAGAAGCGGAAGCCCTTAAAAAAAGGAAGTGAACTAGTTTCTGAATTCGAAGCAGAACAGAATAAGGGGTCATAGTTAAACTACTGAAGACAAACTACCACAAACAAGCAAAGAAAAATATTTCCACTACATGTCTTTCACTGTCACATAGATTTTGAAAACTTATATGTATCTTCGGCTTATTGGTTTGTGCTTCCGACCAAGGTAAATGTGTACTGCTACGATCTTGCAAATATTCAGTTTGATTTATAATTTAGAATGAAAACCAAAACCATGTTGTCGGGTTGCATAACACGGTTAAAAAGCACAGTGGGAGTTATTCTTTCGTTAAGCAGAATGATATCTGATAATATCAGTGTACACATTTACCAACGTAAAACTGCCGTTTTTAAAACCATGAAACCTAGTGATTATCAATTAACAGGAAAAAAAGAACTAATGAGAGCTGTAACCACGGGAGATGCAGACTACACACTACACAGATTGATACAAAAATTGAATCAATAGAATACGAAAAAAATAAAATATCAAAATGAATTTGATATTACCATACAGTATAGTGAATATTTCTCCCCGTTCTCTCCAAAAAGATACACAAATTCGCTCATGACACTCAACAGTACAAATTATTCAATCGACAGATACGGTAACATGTTGATCATATTCTCATAGTTGAAATAATAATTGTTGATCAGTTCAAGATTTGAGGAAGTATATTTGTATGCATGACTAAAGTATCGATAACTGATATCGGAACTTTGAAGTCACTTTCGAATGGAGTCTTCCAAAAGAATATGGTGAGAGCGTTTAGCGTTCTCCTATTTTGATTTCAGTGTAACATTTTTTGTTGATAAAATCAATTGGCTTCAATGAACTAATTATGCGTAATCAAACAAAAAAGTCTAGACTTCATAATATAAGCTGGATTTATTGCTTAACATTCGATGGATGTGAAGTCAACAGTAGAAAATCAGAGCAATATAGAAAATGGGTAGAATAGTGCCCCAATCCAAGTTTAGTGATAGGGAGAGAGAAAATTATAAGAGATGTTACGGTAGACTAAACGAAGGAGACGAGTCGACAGAGAATTAAAGTGTCAGAAATCCAGAAAATGGAGAGTGAATGCATTTGTGCGAATGCAATTAATTGTGATTTATGTCATTAATTTAGTCTACCACCACTTTTCTCTAACATCCCATCCATCTTACTACAGAAAGGTATAGTTGAAAACATGATTTAGACAGTAATACAATTCGAATTTGATAGTGTGTTACGAATTAGTTATAAACACTCAGAAAGCAACCAATTTCTGATCTGAAACTCAAGGACTAGCAATGAAGACAAGACAACTCAGCAAGGAACACAACAACCTCATTTATACTGACAACGAACAAGATAAAAACTCATATGCATGCATAGGTTTTCGCTGAGTCAGTCAGCAAACTAGCCACTTCCGGAGCTAATCGGAAGAACCGAATTTGGAATTTCGCGAAAGTTAATATTTTCCAAAAAAGCGAGAGTGAATATGATTGAACTTTCAGATGGTGGTAGATTCCTTTAAAAAAAAGGTAGTCAGAAGCTTAGCAGATATACACTGTTACCACACACGTACTGTGGTGTACTGGGAAAACAAGTAAGGACTGATGAAAGTGATCATTGGGAAATTACACTGAAACTTGATCCAATAAAAATGCCCTATATTGGACATAATTTATGCGAACAGTCCCTGCATTCCACATACGAGATACGTTGGTCCTAATTTCTATTGTTTCTTTATTGCTTCCTGTATTACCTTATTACGCTTCCGTTCTCTCTTTTTAAACCCCTACTTCTTGGATGCTCATTCCTCTTGCTATACACTACTTAGATGTGTTCGTACAGTTAGCACACGCTACACTCGTTCCTCCATCAAAAAGTCGTTTCTGCAAACATTCTGACCGCCTCCTCACAGTTGTCTTCTGCTTTTGTCTGTGCCTCGACTTGTAGTAACTGGATCCATTTCTGAAGTTGAGTGGCATTCATTCGTTTCTATCTCCTTTCGGTATCGTCCAAACCACACAGCAGTTCTGGGTGATAACGTACGGTTGTTTCTACTTTGGGAGTAGCTTTCCAGATCCTGGTCCAACCCCTAGGGTATGCTTTCATTCTATGCACTTCATTAGACCTTCCACCCTGAATAGTTTCTATTTCGTACCTTCTTTCAGCTATGATCTAACAGCGTGTTTTTTGCTTCTCTTCTACATTCGTGATAACCTGTTTCCGTTCAGTCTTTTATCTTGTACTATGTAGTGGTATTCGTGGTTGTCTATTGTACATCAGCTGTTACTTGTCTTCCCAATGGGTATCATGCTAAATACTACTTACATATGTTCGTGTAAATAGGACACCACACGATCAACTCAAAACACTCATCACGGCACTCCACTGACAGTCTCATTTCGACGTGGATTTTAACTTTGAATTTGTAACATTCGTTAAACATACTATACAGTAAAGTTAACGCAAGTACAACTTTATCTGACTTACATAAGAGTACAATTCGGCCAGTGTCACATCAAAATTACTCTGCAATCCTGTGCATATTCCTGCAGTAGGTAATCAGCCACATCTAGTGTGTGAGGGCTGAGTGTGTGGCTGCTCAAACCTCGATAGGAGGAACTTTGTTCGAAACAGCGATCCACTGACTGACAGTCAACTCTTTAAACCAATGAGCCACAACTTCACAATTCGGGTAGTGTGATAAAGTATGAAATCATACCATCCTTCGATATGATTATGCATTCGAATTGTCATGCAGTAAAAAAAATACGGTCTTACCTTATGGTACATTTCATAAAAAAAATAAAGTGGGATGATAACTTTACTTGGTTCGAAATTGAATAAAAGAGCTGTTGGCTTCAACAAAAAATGAAGTAATATACAAGAACAGAATTTATAGAAAAAACCTACATCTTTAAGATAGGCAGGATACGATATCGAGGTGATATATAAACAACTCGTTCGTTTAAACGCACAGACTGGACAATTCGTTGTGCACAATAGCTAGCGTCCACAACAGGAAATAGTAAAGGATGTCTGAAATGATAATAACGAAAAACCTAGGATGATTCTTATGAATATGCTAAATATACAGCATATTGAGAAATCAACCGAATGTACATTCTATTACGGGCAATTTATGTTGACTGTGTCATAGATAAAGTGAATCAAAGTACTGTATCTGAATTCTAAATCAACTAAGTAGATTAAGTACTTTGTACACAAATTAGTACAAACGTGCATTAGTGAGGTTTTTGTTCCGCTCGCTGACTGACAGGTATGCAAAAATAGTGTTCTAGAGGTTGAAATGTCTAATCTTAGTATCTACTAATGGAGGTACACTATTTGGTGTAAAGTTGATAGATAACCGATATCTACTCCATCCAAACCGAAGATAGGTATATCACAATTTTACACACGTATGGTTCTTATGTTTTATTTTTCACTCAGAGGCTTTGAGGAGCTTTAAAGTCATACTTAACATCTGAAGTCATGCTAATACATAAGGCAGAATCTATGTACTCACTTAGGCTGCTACACTATGTAGATGGTGTTATTGTGGAGTTGTGGCTCATTGATTCAAGGAGTCGACGAGTTCGAAGACCGCCCCATCTACCATGGTTTGGGCAACCACGAAGTATTTATTTGCTCTCGCATACTAGGTATGGTTCACTGCCTACTGCACGAATGTCCAAAGAGTTGCCGAGTGAATTTCATTCAAATAGTGTCATATAGACGTAAAGTGATAAACACATTGAGATATGCGGTTACATATCCAAAAAGAGGACTCATAAATGCACAAAGTACAATGCACTTAACCTCAACAGTGGATGACATCAAGAGACCATGTGATGCTACAAAGAGATGTCAGAATCCTTTCATTGCAAAATATATCACTAAATTAGGCTACAAAACTAATATGAATAAATCTTCAGGCAATTTGCAAATCCTGTTGAGATGCTATCCTTAAATTTTTTCAGCCCTTATATGTGTGAGAAGATTAGAACCTATTTAATAAACTTTAATTTTTTTTCTCCTGTTGACTGAAAAATAATGGTTTGATTTCCGGTTTAATATCATCATTTGACATATTTTTACTATAGCCCTTCAATGCCTGAATATTATTCGTATAAATGCCTTCGATGAATAGTCAAACCGTTGAGAGTATGTTGAGTAATTTGCGTTACATGTTTTAGATACATTAAAACTTTTATTGGCTTTTCAAACAATACTATATTACACGTAATATCAGCAAAGTAAATGATTAAAACAACATTTGCAAAATACAATGAATGGACTTTTTCCTGCATTTTTTTAAAACAAATCTCTCGCCACTCGCATCAGACGAATCTGCAGTCTCTATGTGTTAGAAGGGGAAATTTCTGTTCTAAAGAACATGCTGATTGAAAATGGATTCCCACCACGCTTCATAGACAGACACATTAAGCTTTAGCCTCGCAAAGAGAACCTTACCACCGTGCTAAAAAAGATACTATACGAATCTGAACTTCTAAGATGATTCTGCCGCTGACACCCTAAAAAGGAGGACATCAAACGCTCTAAGAAGAACATTCTTTGCATCAACGCTGAGACTAGTATTCTGTTATCGCCCGATGATTTCTAACAATTCAAAAGAGAAACTTTCGCGTCTGACCACTTCTATGTGCATATATCAATTCAACTGCTCTTGTGGAGCCAGATAATTAGGTCTTTCGCTGCAACTGTTATCTAAAAGTGTTCAAGAACACCATCCCGCGTGGTTACAAAGAGCGATAAGGAGTGCTATGATTGAACACATCGTGAACACGAGTCATCCTATCTCAGGAAACTTTTCGTTCAGAGTCATTTAAAAAGTGAAAAGAAATATCTCAAAGGTTGTATGTTTTCGAATTCTCTGCATTGTCGAAGCTCTTGCCATCCAAATGGAGAAGCTTGAACTGTGTACACAAAAGATATCTCAACCCTTTCTTCTTTCATGGCATAAGTTTTCAGTCCCCCCTACCCCCTCCCTCTTTTTTCTTTTCATTTTTCTGTTTTGACACTACTCACTTCTTAAGTAATTTGCTACTCATTCTTGTTAAAATGTTCCGTCTGATCACAATTTACTTTCCAATTATGTCGTCAAGTTACGAAACTTTTTGTCCAAACTTATTCTGATTGATATTCACTACTCATCAGATTTTTGGTTTTAATGACAACTCACTTATTGACACTACTTGTGTTGCTATGCTTGACAAATCTTTTTCAACTATCAAACTCTTACACTAAAAGAATGTATAAGTTTGCGGTTGGTATAGCTTCGAAAATGAAATTGCCTAAAACAGACGTCGCTGAAATACTTATTCTTCTTTTATATCCTGAGAGGTATATTTCACACAAATAAACATAAGTTGAGTGTGTGCATACTGGTAGGAAATCTCAAACTACGACAAAACAGCTCCCTAGTGTTTTTCAGTTACTGATGGTTGTTTGGCTTATTTCCATCCACACTGAAAACTGCCTTGAACTTAACTTAGAAAACCTGTCTAACTGAAGAAAGTTTCCCCTTAAATAAAAATATAGAACTTACTTCGGTGTAACGCCTTTAAACATATTTGTATTGACTAGGAAAGGAAGTATACGTGTGATACATATTTCATCATTCACTCCCAAATTGAGAAGTTCCAGTTCGACGGATTCCGATAACAGTATGGCAGCGGCTTTTGATGCACAGTAGTCTGCACCGCCGGCTAAAGGTACATAGCCAGCTATCGATGAAACGCACACAATATGTCCTCTAGGATGATAATATTTCACTGGATCATTTAGCCCATTTGAATTCATATTTGGTTTACTCAGCATGGATGGTAGAAACGCTTGGATGAGCTTTCAGAAATACCAAGAAAAAGCAACAGTGATGAATGCGAACTTACCAAGTAACATAAGTATTATATAGAATAATTAGTTATCTTTTACTCTATGTACAAGGTTAATCTGTAATTTTTCCAGTTGTTGAGTTTGCTCGACTAATTAAACCCCGTTAATGTAAGGATACAAGTACCAAAAACGTACTGAACAGAAGTTTTTCCGATCGACTACTAGCATAAAACACATTGACAAGTTATCATAAAAACCGAACCACAAGAGTTTCTAACCTGGAGGAAAACTAATTACTCTAATTAAACGTTCAAATATGCAACTGACAAGCTCAGCTAAAACACACCGAAACATGATGATCCAATAACATTTAATTCATAGATACTAACCCAATGTAAGGAACACAGTACCCAACAGAGAACTGCTACCTTGAAGCTATGGTCCACCTTGCACTTCACAATGAACTACCGAGCTGTGTTTGTGGAACACTTCTCCCCTTGAGGTCCTGCTATACTAGAAAAGTATTTTAGATAGTGGTAGAATAAAGATAACCTAAATTACTCCTGAATAACTGTCTACTGTTACCTGTTGCTGTTACCTTTTCCATCTTTAGTCTTCGCTGTCCACTATCGTTTGCGGTCATTGCGTAGACTCTTTATCGGTCTATACTCGAGTTGCTTCTGCTATTCATGACCTTAGCATTCTAACCATCAATCCACACCCAGAACACCCTTACAGATGTGGTTTTTCGACGTTCACTTAGGCGCAAACATAAGAAGTGTCAACCACTTTTATACCACTGTTAACAGTCAAGTCCCTTTATTGACTGATAGGTAAGTAGTAAGATAAAAAGGGTTGAAACAGCTTTCCATGCGGAACTTCCCCTACTGAGCGTTGCACCTTATAAACTAAATCGGGGCTTAAACTATATAAAAAACAGTATGTTCATTAGAAAGCATTGTTTAATAATTGTCGAAGTATAACTCACGTAAAAGTGTGAAAAGACGTTGACTTTGAAACAGTCCTTCATTGCATTCGAAGTTAGTTCAGTAACATTATCTGTGTTTACAATACCAGCATTGTTTACAAGAATAGTTACTTTGCCAAATTCTCTCAGTACACTTGATGACAACTCATCAATTGCTTTTTTGTGTCTGTAAAGCAAAAGTATTTATAGATATTCAATTCTCATCTTTAAAAATTCATACCTTAAATCGCACACATATGTTTTGATCCGAACGCCAGTATTCTGATGAACAATATCCGATGTTTCCGATAAAGAAGACTCATTTATATCCACAGCTATAATGGTTGGGCAAAATTTTGCGAACTCTAAGCACATGAGTCTACCAATACCACTCCCCCCTCCTGAATAGTAGAAAAATACGGAATAACTTGTTGAAGAAATGACAACGTACCGGTTATAAGTATGACATCTGATGAAAGATTTTTGTATACTGGATTAATTATCTGTAAAACACAGCTTGTCAATTCACAAATGCAGCACCAAATCAATTTGAAAATAAATATGACAGTCTCCACAATGAATTCCATGTGTGGAGATGGACGCTCAGGCTGAATCATTTTGATTAGACACCTGGAGATTAAACAAAAATCATCCCAAAAAAAAATGTAAAACAGAACAAAATACTGGCAAATCACGGTAAATTAACACTACTTCACTTTCAATCGAATGCAAAACGAAGATTGACAAATTACAACATGAAACAGAATCAATATTTTTACATAAACTTGTAAATTCTAACTCATATGTAGGTGAGATGCAGAACTTGTGGCTTAAAATTACCCGACTACCTGATTACTACAGTCGAGAATATCTTTCTGTTGGTGTGAGCTAAATACATAACTACGAAACTACTGAGGTAGTTTAGAGTAAGATACTTGAAAATAGGTATCAGTTTTATACTGATATTTTAGTCTACATTTTATATTATCTGCTTTGTATGATGAGTAGATAGTATATTTAGCTTTCTTATCGCCAAGTGATATTATCTATGCTTCTGGATGAAGTAGACAGTGGATTTTGAAACATTAGATACACAAATGGAACAATACATAGATGCCAAGTATGAGACTGTCTTTTTGAAGTGCTTATTTTGAAATCCAGTTTTTGAGGGCAAAGTCTAAATATGTCATGAATCTCTTTTTGTGACGGTGACTGAGCCAAACTCTGACTCCATTACTGAATACCCTAACGTTAAGTATGATAATATTCATCAATGCAGCTTATATCTATGGCGTTCGACAACTCACCTGACTTACCAGGTAGGATTTAAGACTAATTTCTAGAAAGTCATCAATTACAAAGCTGAAATTTACAACTTATTCTTCTTGCTTGCATTGTGTGCCATCTAAGTCATTCACTGACTATATCTCATCCATAAAGCCAATCATACAGAAGTGCATATCCCTATCACACACTTCATATAACTTACTAGCGGAAATAACCTACATATTCTTGAAGATCTGAACAACGTCATTGTACTTCCCAAAATTCGAGATTTGTACTGTTACAAATAAATTCAAAATCATAATATCAGATAGCTAACGTGATCAGTCACCGGTAATTCGGTGAGTATGGATCCCATGACTCCCAAATTATCGCACTGAATCTTGAATGAACACAAAACTGGTTTTTATGAACTATCGCTTGTTGACAGACTTTTTCTTGAGTTTTTTCTACTGATAGTTGTTTTTCAGCGCCTCGTGTGAGGCCATTATTCTAGAATTTGCAGACAGACAGACTAATAGACTTAAAAGTGGCACAGAAGTGCATCGATTCCGGTTGCTATACTTTGCAGTATACAAGGAAAACGTAGACAGAAAAAATGATAAAAAGTAGACAAATGTGTCTGAGAGGAGATTAAATAGAACAAAGTTAACAAGACTGGTAATGATAATGTATAAATCTGCGCTATTGAGATCGATCTCCGGCCATATCACCGATTTCCCAGAAATCAGGTCATTTTGTCCTGGGGACCCCAAACAGACAGTATAAAATCTCTCTATACGGGTCAGATCAATAATATCAGACTTCATAGTCTGATACCAACACGATGCCCCAGTTGTAGTGATGCAGAACTTAAACCTTCGACCCCCTGTTTGAAACTAAAGTACCAAAAATAATGGACATCACGATATTTACTTTTGCTACCTGCATTTAAAATGAAATGAAAGGTGTAAATCAGTATGTACTTAGTGCCTTATGATTTGTTTCGGAGGAGAATATAACCCAATTACCCTATGGTGAGGTCAAATAAACAGAAATTTCGAATGTGATCCAGAGTACACAACTAATAGACTATGCTGTATATTACAAAATTAGTGCTGCGGTATCAGAAGAATCTACGAAATCACTGCAGAACATTTTAAGCCTGTCACAGAATCTGTTGCTAAAGGAAGACAGAACAAACAAAATTTACAAAATCAATTGCAAACTGTTCAAAACACTATGTCGACCAGTCTAGTCGTTGAATTGCTCAAAGAACTCACAGACACCAAACAGCAGTACAACAAAGTGGCATATTCTCGTTAGTTTTAACGAGTGCAGACCATCATAAATACAACTAGAAGAATGTAAATACACTATAACGAGCAGGTTAAAGAGCTGCAAGAGGATTTCTAGAAGCTAGTCAAAGGATATCTGGATACAGATGCAGTCCACAATTTAGTGAGTAGAGAAAAAACCATCCACCATCCATTAAAATATTTATCGAAATTATTGAAACCATTGCAACATGATATTACTTCTAATAATAGAAACTCAGAAGAATTCAAGAATAAACTAATGGTTAACACGATAAGAGAAGAAGAAATTATGGCAAGTTTTGACGTAATTTCTCTTTACACTAGTATTCCTATACCTGATGCACTTAATATTGTGAAAATTTTACTTGATAACGATCAAGTAATACTAAATGGATGTCCTTTATCATCAGGAGACATTATGAAATGCTTAAAATTATGTTTAGAGTCAATATATTTTACGTTTAGGGACAAGTTATACCGTCAAACTAATGGCGTTGTGATGGGCTCACCAGCATCCCTGATTGTAGCTAGCTTATATATGAAAGCAATCGAAGAAAGAGCATTAAATAGTTTTCATTGTCAACCCAAGCTTTGGTATAGATATGTAGATGACACCTTTGTGATCATCAAGAAAACAGAACTTGAAAGCTTTTTACAACATCTAAACTCAATATCAAATTTCATAAAATTTACAACTGAAACCGAATCGAGTGCAGGAACGTTGAATTTCCTAGACTGTCTTATTCAAAAAACACCTGAAGGAGAATTTAAAATTGGAATTTACAGAAAAGCTACACACTCTGATAAATATCTAAATGTTCAATCTGACCATCCAATGAATGTAAAAACCACAGTAGCTTTGAACCTATTGAGAAATAGGGCTAAAAATATTGTGACGGAGACGGAAGATAAAGAAAATGAAATTTCTAAAATAAAAAAGGTATTGATAGAGAATGACTATCCAAAGCATTTTCTGGATATTATTTAGAAGAATGACAAGAAAGAAACAGACAAGAGTAAGAGAAAGGAGCAGTCGTGGACATCGACAATGACGATTCCATATAGGGTACTTCAGAACAAATGCAAAGAATTTGTGCAAAGTATGGTATTAAGGTATATTTTAAACTTTCAAATTCTTTGGAAAAAACGTTCGTCAAAGTGAAAGATGTGATTCCAAAGATGACATAAAACAACAACTGTATAAGATAAAATGTACAGAATGTGAAGTCAATTATACTGGTGAAAGTAGTAGACAGCTGAAAGTCAGAGTGAACTAACATAGATTATGCAGTAAACACCCACTAAAAAATGAAGTGGAACTGAAAAGTTTCGAAAAGAAGTCAGCAATAGCAATGCACGCCATTGAAAGTGGGCACACAACCGATTTTAACAATGTTGACATATTAGGGAAGGGTTTCCTTACACATAAACAAAGATTGACCTCAGAAGCCTTGCATATTTTAACATCAACAGATGCTTTAAACAGAAAGGAAAGTATTGATCTGTCACTTATATGGCAGACTCTAATTAGACAAAAACATTAAAAAGGTAACCATTTCAATTTGCACTTTTAAAAACCAGAAAACAACATACGTCTTCTTATTGTTTTGTCGAAAACAACATGTATCAATTATTGTGGACGTATAAACATATTTTTCATATTTTTATATGATAAACAACGAATGACACATTTTCCATAAAAAGTTAACGCACATACGCATACACGCACGTTGATTATTGAATCGTTCTTTGACGACAGATAAAAAAGACTGTACGAATTTTGAGGGAGTTGTGGAGATTTGGAAATATTTCAAGTTGTTATTCATCGTAGACTGACATCAGTTGGAGGAACAAAGGAAACCTGGGAGCACTGGGCAGCTGTTTCGTCCTAGCATGGGACTCCTCAGCAGTGCGCACTGTATGAATTTATGATGACTAACTCGAAACAATCAGTCTGAACAACAAAACAGCTAACCAATAACATAAAGATAGAAATTTCCACATGTAGTTTTTGACAGTATATATTTTGATGTTAAATAAAAATCCGAATATTCTGTTGAAGAAGCTGTGACATACACAGTGAAACGTTCAGAAAAATCTCATTTTCGATTTTCTAAGCACTCCGGGATTATAGAAAAACTTACCTATATAATGAATCAACCTGACTCGGCGCTCAACTTCTTTTAGGACATTCGTAAAAACTATGGCCTGGATGTTTATAGGTTTACTCTCTCTGCCGTTAGAACAACCAAACATCAAAACAATGTGTGACGGACCTGAAGCAGATGTCCTATGCAACCTGCAGTTATCTTTTTCAGGCACCTTAGGGAGAAATAATCTACCACTGTGTAGGCACGCATCCAGTAGTATGCAAAATTCATCATCAATATCAACATAGGACCAGGCATTACTGCGTAACGGTCCGAGTTGCTACAGCTCATATGAGTGCATAAAGTAAAAAGGTAGCGAAGTGCAAGATGGATATAAGGAAATTCAGTCAAAAGAAATATACAGTACGAGAAGAGAGAAAGGAAGAATGGGAAAATGGTGAAATTCAGTATAGCGTCGTTAAGATGAAGGCAATGTGTGTATACATCTGCCCCGCTGCCATCGGCTCTGAGCCATATCACCTAGAGTCTCAGTCAAACACAACCTATCCTCCTCAATTCCGTCTACTCTCTCACCTTCACCTCTTCATGCTAGTATTTAACCTTTTACACCTTCCCCATCATCCCGTACTGCTGCCATTGCCCACGATCAAAGCCATCGATAACTCATTTCTAGTTACCTAAGATTTAGTTACCGATTTCATATTGGAACTTTCAATATCCAAACGCTATCCTAAATCGGATAACGACATCGCTCATCAGAACCCCGAAATCTCTAGCCATGGATGTATCTTCTGTGCATGAGACACATATACAGGACCCGAGCGTAGTTATTAAATAGACCTCACATGGCTATTATAGTGAATCTTTAAAATCCACCTGACGAGTATCCTGGGACCCAATGGTTAGCTCTCGTAGACTCACTGA